CACACACACTCACACACACACACACACTCACACACTCACACACACTCACACTCTGCTTCTGCTCTCACCACTAACCCTTCCTGGAAGGAGGAGACCAGCTGCAGGAGCCCTGGCCCCAGGAAGGATGCCCTCACCCTGTCCTCTTACTTGGATGCCACCAAAACAGCCTCCGGCCTCGGCATCTGCAGGCTGGAGTGGTTCTGCAGGCCCCAGCAGAGGAGAGCAAAGATCAGCGGGAAGAAGACGCAGCCCACCAGGAAGAGCAGGGTCATGCCTACCTGCGGGGGAGAAGGTGGGAAAAGCTGTCGTGAGAACGCCTGAGCACAGTGTCCGCAGACTCAGGGATCCCATCACCCCAGTGCTTCTAACGTCCCATGGAATCCCTCCGTCTGTAACCATCAGAAGCCACCAGGCATAGCTCTTCCCTAACCTCTGGGATCCATATTGCACTTTAAATATCTCTCATTCAAGACAACTGGGCATCCTATTTTTCGTTATCAACCCAATTCCAACAGTGTCATTTTCCCTATAAACCCTGAAGCTGATCTGTCCCTCCTAGTCCATCTTACACCGTAAAGTCTCTTCTCTTTCTCCTTCAGCCCTGATGATGTGGGGAGTCTCCCTCAGCTCCACCCAGGCCACCCCATCCTCCACCAGCTCCCGGCTCTTCAGGCACCTCTCCCTCCTCCCAGGCCCTCCCCTCCGAGGAGCAAGGTGGAAGCTAGAGAGGGAGGCTGTCTCCCATCAGCACCCAGAGCGCCAACAAAAGAGGGGTGGTGGTGGTCAAATTATAAAGATATTTGAAATTTAAAAGTAACAGAAAAAAAACAACCCAAAGCATTATCCCATTTAAAACAATAACCCTGAAAACATATATTTACATCTATGTGATTTTTGTCTGGAAAAGCTTCCTCTCCCATCCACTCCAGGGAGAGGAGTGGGGAGGCCCCAAAGGGGGTGCAAGCAGTCAGGGCCTGCCGCCCTGCACCCCTTGAGCGTCGCTGAGGGGACTGCCTCAGGATGCAAGCAAAGTGTCAAAACTGCAAAGGCACGAGGGAGACCAGACCGCTCTGCTGAGGCGGTTGGAGAGGGCGGAGCGGCATTCTCCCATCGTGGGCTAGTGGAGGGTTTGGAATATGCAAGCCTCACATTGGCCCACCGCTTGGTACCTGTGCCCTATGATGTGCTTCCTAGAGGAGGGGCCTGCTCCGGCGGGAGTGGGGGGTTGGGGGGGAAGGGGAGGCTTTCTCTTGCAGAATTGGCCAGCTGCGTTTCAGGGGTGGAGCTGAAAGAGGAGAAAGGAAGAGGAAGGAGGGCAAAATAAGGACAGCGAAAGGAACAAAATAGAACCAGAGGCAGGGATACTTAGAACAGACTGACAGCGGGATTGGGGCGGGGGGGGCGGGGGGCTGTGAAGAGAATAGCCAAAGAGCATATGTGCATAGTCCATGGACACAGACCACAGTGTGGTGGGGGCCAGGGGAGGTGGGGGCGGGGGCATCTGTTATAGTGTCAACAATTAAAAAAAAAAGAAAAGAAGAATAGCATAAGCGGTTGTTGCTTAAAGGATAGTATAGGGCGGAGCATCGTCCCGATTAGCCAAGGTTTGGGTTCGATCCCGGAATAAAAGATGGAAGAGGACAATAGTTTAGTTAGACCGCAGTTTCTGGCGGGGGACCACCTGGGCGTCCGATTCCGACTCCACAGGTAATAGCAGAAACATTCTGTGTGGCTCCATTCGGATGAACTTCGAAACAGGCAAAATGCCTCCCGTGCAAAATCAGAAGCATTTAAGTTGGAGGAAGTTGTTGACTGAGAGGAGACTCCGTCCGGGGAGCCTTCTGAGCCCCAAATAAAGGCATGTCCTTATATGGATCACTGGTGTATACGCATGTAAACGTTCTCAAGAAATATTTTTAAATATATATATATTGATTTCAGAGAGGATGGGAGAGGGAGAGAGAGATAGAAACATCAATGATAAGAGAATCATTGATCAGCTGCCTCCTGCACACCCCCTACTGGGGATGGAGCCCACAACCCGGGCCTGTGCCCTTGACCGAATCAAACCTGAGACCCTTCAGTCCGCAGACTGACGCTCTATCCACTGAGCCAAACCGGCTAGGGCAGACTCCTATAATTTGTGCACTTTATTTAAATTAAGCTAGAATTTTAAAAATGGTAAAAAAAAAAAAAAACAACCAAAAACTAAAAAAACACACACACAGGCTCTTCCATTCCCAGAATGTTGGTGGGCCAATCTCTGTGAGCCTCAATTCTTCCTGTGAAGCTGGGAAAATAAAAATACCAGCTCAGTAAATGCTACCTATGTAAAATTTACTAGGGGCCAGACACTGCTCTGAGGGGCCAGACACTGTCATTTCCTCAAAACAGCATTGAGGGTAAGGATTATTATTGTGCCCATTGTACAGATGAGAAAACAGAGGCATGGAGAGGTTTGGTACCTTATCGTGGTTAAACTGTCAAGAAGTGAATGAGGCAGGGTTTTTCCCCATCCCACCAATACATAGAGAATGTATTGGTCTCTATAATGTTAAGCAGATGTAGAAAACTCATAAATTCATTTTTCTATAGGGTCTGAAAAATCAAATAAAAAGAAACAAAACACCATTGAATACAATTTGGACATATCAGTCACATTTTCATAGCTTATTTCTGTTCATGGCTCTTGCTTCCGTAGCTACTCCCTTTTCCCTCCTCTGGATAGTCTTCTGAAAATTAAAAGTTAAAATAAGGTTGTTTAAGATGAGGCCCCTGGTTGCCTAACCAGTATCCATTCTCATCGTCTTTCTTATTTTGTTGGGGAATAAATGTGTCTATTTAAAAAGAACACAACACTATATTTCCCAGCTTCCTTTGCAGTTAGAGGCCTGGCCAATATGATGTAAGCAAAAGTCATTATGTGGGATTATGAGGAGAGCTTTTTGAAAGGGAGTCAATGCAATGCAGTCACAAAGAACTAACTATAGGTGGTGCTTAAACTGAGGTTTGAGACCAGGCATGGCCTGGAGTTTGCGCTGTTATCTTCCCAGCTCCTTACAGGCTCATTGTGAGGATGAAATAGAAATAGTGTGTGTAAACTACTTGCACAGGCCTGTTAGCTACTATTATTATGAGCACTTGCAGTACACAAGGCACTGAAATACTAATATGCTTTGCAGGCATTCTCCCATTTTTTTAAATATATTTTTTATTGATTTTTTACAGAGAGGAAGGGAGAGGGATAGAGAGTTAGAAACATCGATGAGAGAGAAACATCGATCAGCTGCCTCCTGCACATCTCCTACTGGGGATGTGCCCGCAACCCAGGTACATGCCCTTGACCGGAATCAAACCTGGGACCCTTCAGTCCGCAGGCCGACGCTCTATCCACTGAGCCAAACCGGTTTTGGCACTACCATTTTTTTAAATAATATATTTTTATTGATTTCAGAGAGGGAGGGAGAGGGAGAGAGAGAAAGAAACATCAATAATGAGAGAGAATCACTGACCAAGCTGCCTCCTGCACGCCCCCCTGGGGATTGAGCCCGGAACCTGGCATGTGCCCTGACCGGGAATTGAACTGTGACCTCCTGGTTCATAGGTCAATGCTTAACCACTGAGACACTTGGGCCGGGCGACATTCTCTCGTTTAAGGATCATTACAATCTTACAAATAATCTCCCCATTTTAAAGCTGGGAAAACCGAGGCTCGGGGAAGTGAAATGACTTGCCCCCGGCTGCATCGTAAGCCGCAGAGCTAGGACTCAGGGTCGACATGACTGCTGCCTTCTAAGTTGGGAGAAGAGAGGAGAGGAAGAAAGGGGGGAGCAGCGGAAGGGGTGAAGAGCAGCACGCGGGAGACATTCCCCTCGCCCTCGGGTGCTAAGGGACAGCCGTTCTCCTCTGACCTGAGGCTTACCCTGGAAGAGAGAGCAAGAAAGGGAAGACTGCTGGGCCATGAGCTGGTAAGGTCAGGCCCCAGTTCCGTTAGAATCTGGACTCCTACGTTTCCTTCCTTCGTTAGTAATTTCTTCTAACAGTCCAAGGCTGCATGATCCTGTCTAAGAGATAAAGGATCAGGGGAGAAAAAGAAAGTTGTTCAGAGCACTGGCTTTTAACTTTTTTAACCATAACCACCAAGAGATACATTTTACTTCCTGACTCAGCACAGGCACACACATGCGAACTGAGCCCAAACTTCCTCCCCCGCTCACCGATCCTTGTGCAGTGCACTGGGGCGTTTTCTGTGTCGGTTTAATCTCCCCAAATTCTGGCCGTGCCCCACCCCATGAAGCCAATTTCACAAACCATTGTGAGTAACGACCCAAGTTGGAAAAACCTTGGTTTCTCAGCTTTTTTTTCATTAATGCTCTCCTACGGAGCCTGTTTTAGACATTTTGTTTCCTAATCGCCACTCTTTGTGAAATTCTGATAACAGATATACTGTATATCTGTGCTTTATATATAAAAAAGATTTTTTTTTTTTTGCCCTCCAATTTTTGCCCCCTTGGGGGCAATGTTACTCCTGTTGAGAATGCATTAGAGACATCATACCAACTCATTTTCTGGGCCTTTACACACCATCCCAACATCCAATGAGACTGTATTAATCCCATTCTACAGATGAGTAAGCCAAGGCCGAGAGGTTACATGAATGGCTGAGGACGGAAATGGCTGATAAGTAGATTGGGAATCCAGAGACCCACTGAGATCCTAGCTCCGCTGTTTAATTACCCGAAGGTCGTTTCCCCACACGGACAATGGTGAGATTGGTCCAAAGAAGTGTTTTCTGTGTGTTGTGGTTTTCTCCCGTTTGACCTAATAACATTTATACAGCACTGACTCATGTCAGTCACAAATCAACGCCCTTTGCGTGTATGAACTAATGTAACCCTCACAGTAACCTGAGAGGGAGGTGCCATGATTACTTCCCGTTACGGACGCGGGAACTGAGGCACAGAGAGGTTGCGTGATGCCCAGTCACACAGGTAGTACGAGGCAGAGCTGGCATTTGAGCCTAGAAGCCAGATTTCCAGGTACTTGCTTTTAACCATGTACTTAAAGGGAAGCTTTTATCACTCTAGAGATTAGAAAGCCATTATCCCTTGGTTCAAATGGACTGTCACAAAACATTAATAAGGTGAAGAAACTGCTCTAACATCCTAGCTCGATACTATCGCCGGCTCCAATCTGAGCGGGAGGCCTGCTCGCCGGTAAAGAAAAGGCCAGATAAGCCTGGACAGAGGTGCGGAAGGGCGCCTGGCAGCTCACGGGGCTCCTCCTGCAGGAGGCAGAAGTGCTGAAAGCGAATTGGAAAGAGCTGCTTTCCCGTGTGCATGTGCGCGTTCCTGCTGATCTGTGTCCCCCCTCAAATAAACCCAAGACGGGGTGCACTCCACACCCCGAGATCCCTTACCTGGGCGGTCCAGGGGTGTCCCAACACCCCCGGGGAGGGGCACGAGGCCAGGCACGGGGTGCAGCCACCTGCTTCCGAAGGCAGCACCCACAGGGGGCAGCGTGGGGTGGACTCAGGGCC